TTGAGAAAATATATTTATGTAACCTTTTTAAAAAAGTTTTATAAATAGGTCACAATTGGCCATGGACTATATTAGGGGCCCAATCTTATGGGGTTCCCAGAGGCTCCTCTATAAATCAGTAAAGATTAAAGAAAACCATTCTACCCAAAGGGACTCAGTGCTCAGTCTAAAGAGAGCCCATTAAGCATCTCTGTGATATTTAGTTTCAGTTCTCAAACTGTGGATTTGTGTCTCCAGAGATCATAGGCAGACAAGGTTCTTTGGGTAGATGTGATATCTTTTATTAGACCAAGTAAATAGTTGGAAAAATTGTTCTTTGCAAGCTTTCAGGCACAAACGCCCTTCTTCAGGCATAGGGAGAGTTTGTCATCTCCAGAGATAACATCCTTCTTAACAGCTGTACATGGAGATGAGAGATAAAAGACCTGATTACCCACCCATCAGCCGTATTGTCCCTCTGCAAGTTTGTGTACACACAGTCAAGCCCTTACCTTTCTCTAAAAGTGCACAGTTTCAAGATATTAAATGAATAAAGGATATCCGACAACAAGAATGCACTTTCTGTAGAAAACAATGATTAAATCAAGGCTTCCTGACCAGTGATTTAAATCATGATTAAATCTATCCGATTTAAATCAAATCCACCCTGAAAACTGCAGCCATTATGTTTTGCATTTATTGTTGCTAGTAGCACACATTACCATATTTCTACAACGTAACATTTTTCAGAAGTTGTTCATACTAGTAAGGAGTCTTTAAAGAGGATGAACAAGAATTTTGCTGCTGGTCAATGTTTGAAGCATGTTACAGATGCTTAGTGCACAATAATCCCAGGGTTTGCACCTTACATTCTCTATTAAATTTGAAAACATATGCTTACACATATAGTGGTTAAGGACCATGTTATAATAAATGTGGATACCCTAATACAAACACACACAGGCATGTAATTTTCTTCCAGCAAATAAGCCTTTTAAAAACCTGCTACATTAATGATCTATAATCTCCTCTTTTTTCCTAAAGAGAAAATTAGAAGTGGATGTTATAAAAATATTAATGAGAACTGTTGCAAGAGATCATGACAAGCACTTTTCATGAGCTAAGAAATATATTCTGAGTCCAGTTTATACAAATTAATTCAGACAACAAACAAATGTGCTGGACTCCAAGCAGCTTGTACTAAATTCCCCAATTAAACATACAAATTTGTTTGAAATAACTCATTATCAGGGCTCCTGGTTTTCTCTGATAAAAAAATTCCCAATTTTTGGATTTAAAAAAGTAACTCAAAATCCACATTCTTCTGTGATTAAAATGAAATGCCAGCCATATATATATATGGTGTTTCATTTTAAAATCACAGAAAAATGTGGATTTCGGGATACTTTTTTAAATCCAAAAGAAAATCGGGGATTTTTTTTTTTTTTTTTAAATCAGAGAAAATCAGGATCCCTGCTCATTATACAATGGATAGTCCCATAATATAGTTTTGATAAATCAAAGTTATGCTTCTAAATCTGAAATACTATGAACGATTACTTCTAAAGCATTTTGATACCTACATATGCCCTCCTCAACTGATTGGCATTTAAAAGAATCTCACTCATACTGCACACCTTTATATTACATTCTTTATTTGCAAACTTTACTATCTGTATCTAAAGCCAAAAAGAAACATACCAGCTGAAATGTTCGTAAAGCAAGAAAGCAATCATTATGAATACGCTGCCAGGATAAGCGGGTTTTGATACAGCTCTCAAGCTAGGAAGGTTATTGATCTGTGAGATTTTGCTTTTCATTTATTTCAAAGCAGGTTCTAAGCTACTTTTGTTTATGACTACCTTTTATTGTGGCGATGACAACTAAGCAACACAAACCAACTCACTCCTCAAGTGGCTATAAAGGATCAAATATGTGACATCTGGTCTGCCTCAACAATTCTAACAGTGGTAACTGCCTGAAAACTATTCCAAATGCGCATTAAATGAAAACACACAGGAAGCTCTCACAGACGGTATGGCAAGCATCTAAGCCTGTACGTTTTTTCTGACTGGTAGCAAAAATTACTTATTTGGTAACACGATTAGTTGATCTCAGTTCCTTTCAAAGTGTTCTGCTACTAAGCAGCCTTATGAAAGATGGCAGAAAAGTTAGATGGAAAGAAAACTTTACTGAGAGCATAGAATAAATCACTTTCCCTGAATCTTTGAAGAAGGGAGAGTAAAATATCTATAACAATCAAATCTTGTACAATATAATAGAAATCATAGACTTAATTCACCCGCATTTGGCTTTCTAATTTCATACTGTATTTGCGGCAGTTGGCACAGAAGTGAGCATCCTTTAACTTTTTCTGCTTGTTTATGATTTGCAAGGTAAAAGGAAATCTTCCTGAAGATCCGAAAGGCAACAAAAAAAATTACAAGCAGCAAACAACGTGACTGGGGTAAATTCCATTCGGCAAACTTCAGGTTTCTCAGCATGAAAAAACAGGATGAATGGGGAACAGAGGCGGTCAGAATGGCATCAGGATCAGGCACAATATTGTTAGCTTGTGCAAAGTTTACTGAAGGCTAGGACTGATTCTGAGGTAAATGTGTTCTGATATGATTCCCAAGTTCACAATTACTATATGAAATGAAGAGGAAACTGCACATCCTTTTAGTAAGGATGCATTTGGATGATTCTAAAAGGCAAAACGATGCGTCTGATGTGTGCCCAGTCCCCAAGAGCACTTCCTATTGGTAACCTGCAACCACATGAAACTCTACACAAGTTCACAAAGAGAGCAGAGCCACTTGCAAGCCTTCACCAGTACATCCAAGATAAAGGCGCAGGATCCTGAAGCATATATCAGTTAGAGTGAATACACATATAGAGACATCTGGAGGCTCTCCTGAATCTAAAGTTAAATCTGGAGAAGCTTCATTAGAGTGTCTATGTTTGGATCTTAATAGAAGGGAGTAAAAACTAGATGCTAGTTACATATCTGTTAGTGGAACAGAAACTAAAGTTTGAGAGTTAGGAAAAGTGACAGATCAATTGGGAAAGCTTAGAGAAAAAGCAAGAAAATTACTACTCTCCAGCTTCAAACTGAAATGCTAATTAGAGGCAATACACAGTGAAGATGGATAGAGGAATTAAAGAATGTACATAAGTATTATAATTTAAGGTTAGTAAATTTCCTAAGAGTTGGAAGGAGTGAGGCTACTATTAGAGAGGACCTCTCAAACTGCTTAAACAATATTTGATGAGAAGTATTTGACATTTCTAAAGATGGTATTTCTTCCATTGTATAAGTTTTCTTACTGCACATGTGGCTTGTTCTACAACTGAATAACTTTGATGATGAGGAACTGGACAGGTTTTACCATTGCATATTACTGAAAACTACAGAAAGAGACAATGTTTAAAAAAAAATTAGGGGAGAATTGATCCCAAAGGTGTTGGGCTGATCACATTTACCCAAACACTTATTTGGGATCCACCAGTGTAGCAAAGGAGGGGATTTAGGCATGTGGCCAACTGCTGGAATCAGATAAAGCATGGATCATTTTATAAATTTTCTTAGGACATAAACAAAATTATAGCAACCCGTCAGAAGCTTTACCTGAAATGTCTGAAAAATTATGAGACTGCAGAAACTGGGTATAAATATAAAGACTGTGTACTGAGGCAACAGGAAGTTTACTAACATTTTAACACACATGTTAAATGGTTTAGCTGTTAATTTTTATCATTTTTTTACTAAATCAGATATAGGAGAAACTGTGACTGGAATTCAAAGCCTATAGTACAGACACTGGAAAGGTAAAACCCTAACAGAGCTTACCCCATACCTTGATACAGGAATAAGGGAAGCAACTGTATTGGATGAAGTCACCCACTGAAGGGAGGGAAAAGGGGTTGTGATCCAAGCTTCTCTGCACTTATCTTCCCCCTAAGGGAGCAGATAATTGAGCATATAAACTACATGTCTCCCCAGCCTTTATGAAGGTCAAAAATGGAAGGATGGGGAGTTCCTTTCACCATCACTGCAGACCTGCACAAGCAGCGGTCAGAACTTGGCCCTAAGTAAAAAGCAGCCGAAAATGAATTAATGGCTATTATATCTGTCACTTCACATTTTGGTCCCTTTAAGACACAGAAAATAAACTGCAAAGCCCTGACCCCTTGATATCATTATATGACGTAAGGGAAAGAAGGGAAAGCTACTTTATTAGTTAAATTACTTTAACTAATACAAAGATTGTGAGAAAAAAATCATATCATGATAAAATTCAATCATTTACAAAAATATGAAGCAACATAATTTGTGAGATTTGACAAGTTATGTTTTTTCATATCTTTGAAAATGATACCCAACTTGGATTACCATTCTGTTGTGTTATCACAGCTAGAGGGGAAGCCTAACCAATGAAAGGTTGGATTGAGGGTTTTTTTAAATGCAATGCTATAACATCTTGATAGTTCAGCTACTAAACAATCATTTCCAATCCAACGTTATGCTTTGTTGTTGACTAGCTTTTTTTCTCCATGACTTGAAACAGTATTCAGATTGCCAGTGTTGCTATTTCTGACATGCATGTGTAGTTTAATCACCTTATTAGTGCAATTTAACAAACTGTCACCAAAGCATGAAAAATAAGAGGAAATTTCGGTGGCCAAAAGGGAAAAATATCAAAGCACAGTGGCTAGTCACTTACTGTGAAGTGGCACTTAACTGTGACCTCTTGCAAGGTCTTTAGGTCAAGTGTAACAAAGAGCAAAGCATTGAAAGCTCACTTCTGAGTGCTGTGAAAGAGCTCATTCCTGCAAAGACTGTGTACATAGGCTAACTCAGGTGATTAGACCTATTAACTTCAGCAGGGAATACTCCAACATGTAAAGTTACTCCTGTGTACAAGTCTTTTCAGAACCAGGCCATTACTTTAGAGGGAGGTTTACATTTTGTTTTTTCAAATAACACTCCTCTAAATCTGAACAGTTGTTTTTCTTACCTGAAGTCTAGTGTTCATTTCCAAGAAGTAAAAATTCTTCTTGGAATCCACAAGGAATTCTACTGTTCCAGCAGAGGAATATTTTACTGCTTTGGCAAGAGCTACTGCTTGTTCTCCCATTGCTCTTCGAGTTTCAGGATCCAGAAAAGTGCTGCAAGTGCAAAAAGAGTAACCTTTCTTTAGTTAAAAAACATAATTGAACAGTTTTATCCTTTGCTTAAGTAACCTATAAAATAAAGCTAAAAAGATGATGATACCACACAATCCAGTCAACTCTGCCATATAATAGCTGTATCAGTGAATAAACAAGAGTACACCAGAACTACTTCAGAAGCATTGGGTGCTGGCTACAGCCAAGGTTGGGGGTTTTCACTGAGGTGTACCAGTGCTCCTGCTGAGCCTGAAAGCTGGAGATTCCTGCTTAGGTCTTGTCTCTCTGGTCAGAGTCAGATGGATCATCACATTTGGGATTAAGAAGGAATTTTACCCAGTAGTCAGCTTAGTATGGACTTCCTCTGCAGCAGAGGACTTTCCTCTGAGCCCTCTTCCTTAGATGTCACTGACACACTTTAACAAGCCTTGCAGCAACACAACACCAGTCATCAATGTCTCCCTGCTTTACCTATGGCAGGTTAGGGTGCTATCCCTTGTAGTTGTGTAACAGGGTTGATCGTGTACTTTTAGTAATATGTTAGACAAGGATTTGTATGGGATGGTTTGAACAGAGATAATCCTACCTCCAGCAGGGGTTCATACTAGATGACTTTCAGCGGTCCCCTCCAGTCCTACTTTCCTATGATTCCATTATTCTAACCTTAGATGAACCTTATTTCATCCTAGGTTCCTTTTAAGAAATAAGGCTTAAGTGCAGCAGGCAGTACTCTTGGTAATCGCTGCTACTGTGCTCTAAAATGTTTTAAAGATCTAAAAGAAAACAATGCACATCTGTACAACATTAAGATCCATAAAATGTGACCTAAAATATTTAATGATTATTTTAAAGGCACATTTAATTAATAAAATCCATCATCAAAAAAATTCTGGGCAATGCTGAAGTTTGTAGACAACAAGCATACTATGGAAAAATGAATGCCTAGATCAGTTGTTCTCCACCTTTTTTGAATGAGGCGCCCCTCCATAATTTTTGTGAATTGAATGGCATCCAGTTTTAAAAACTAATGTATATATTGCAGTGCTTGCTCCCTTGTAGAGGGGCTGGGCAGTGGGGGTGGAAGATCAGCCAAGCAGGGACACGCCTGAGCCTGACCTTTTCTGATCATCTCCTCAAACGTCATGGAACCCTTTAAAGGATCTGGTGGCATCCCAGGGCGCCACAGCCCCCTGGATGAGTCTAGATCAAGGAAAAAATACACCACCCTTAGCTTGTGGTTGCCTTGTTTTCTGCATCTGTTTAAAACATGATGTGGCTGTTATACAGCAATGTGCTCCGTAAGGCAAGTAATGATAAACTAGGAAAGTTCATAAGGTCTGAATGAGATATTCTGACCTGTGGTTTGTTTTTGTTTTAATTTGGGTTTCTTACATAGGTAAGATTCTTATGAAAGAAAACTAGGACATTCATAAGACTGAACCCAATAATCAAAAACACTAACAGTTTGCAGATTAAACCTCCAAAATTTCCCATCACAAGTTTACCCAGTAGTTGCAATTTTAAGTTGTGAGTTTTTCTGATTGTGATTCAGTCCATTTCGCACAGTACTGCTACCATTCAGTGGTGTTCCTCTGCCCCAGTGTGCAACTCAGCTATTCCCTCAGCAACCACTGCAGTGACTGCTCCCAATCACCAAGCTTCCTCACCCCCAAAGACAAAATGCATGACTTTCAATTGGCCAGTAAATTACAAACTCAAGAAAAATATACATACTGATGGTTCCTTCTCACTAGGATACATGTTCAGAATTAGATTAACCTATACAGGTAGTTAACTGAGTGGTAGGGAAACTTTTGGCTTTTATCACAGTTAGAGAAAGTTTTTTACTAAGAGATTCTAAACCTGGAACATGGATTTATAATGAAAAAAAAAATTGTGTGTGTCAAACTGTTCCCTATTAGAAACACAGTTACACTAAGCAAAAGTACTTACTGCATCTGTATTGCAACTTAGGTTGCCTATACATGTGGAAGAATCCTCCCAGGTTTGTTTTCCTGGTAGAAAAACATATTTGGAGGCCCCTAGATAGACATTCAAATGCTGATCCCTTAAGCAGCACAGAGTTTGAAGTGCTGACACTGCACAGACAGAGGGCCCCTGTACACACTTCTCAATGTACTCTGTAGGCTCCCTCAGTTAGCCTGGAGACAGATGGCAGTGGTGCATAGGACAGCCCTAATTGGCCTGCAGACACTCAGGGGAAAAAAATGAAGTCTGATTCAGGAAAGGTGGCAATGGATTCTATGCCAGTCTCTGGTCTCACATATCTGAAGAGATCACTAAGATCAAAAGGAATGGGAAAAACAGAAAAATCTGACATAGGCATTGTAATGTAAAAAGATGAGCTTGTTACTCTGATTCAGTAAGGCAAGGCTTTCCAGCTTCTGGGCAGCTGAGGACCACATGCAGCACAGGCCACAGACCTGGGGAACACATCCTCCGGGGGCTGACCCCCTGCCACATGGGCAACCCAGTCCCTACACCAGCTCCCTCCACATACAGACCAGCTCTCTCTCCATGTGCACACAGCCCAGCTTCAACCTCCCTGCATGCGTTGCCCAGCTCCCTCCACCACATGCACAACCCAGATCCCCACCACACATGAAGCCCGTTTCCTAGCTCCCCACCCCCAACACAGGCAGCCTGGGCCCCCCACAGCTGCACCACAAGTGGGGACAGGAACCAGAAGACGAACAAGAAAGGTGGAGCCTGGAGATCCCAGCCACTGCCACCAAAAAAGCAATGGGAGAAGTGGCAGTTGAACAGGAACTCTTAACCCTTTGAATGCTGCATGTGGCGCACGTGCTGCCAGTTGGACAGTCTTGCATTAAGAGAATAATGCAGAGGAAAAAGTTAAAAGCCTGTAATTTAATCAAGGAACATCAGTTTATATCACCTGTTATGCAAACACATTTTGAGCAATTACAGACTAGCTGATTTCCAATACTGAATGATAGCCTTGGTCTCTATTTCAAAAATAAGCATTATTATTTCTCATACAGACAAAAAGACAGCTACTACCCTTCTACTACAGTGATGTCTTCCTATATTTGTTAATGTATATGTAAGGTCTCTATTCACCTCCTGCCGTAGCTGAAGAATGGAAAAGAAGTGTCATACTGTTAAACTTGATCTCTGCCATGTGGTTAAGCTTTATACTCTACAATGACTATATTATCTCTGCAATCAACTAGGCTAATTAACTGAGGTTTACCTACTCCTTTCTGCTTCTTTACCTTTCATATACATTCTCTTCCCCTGAAACCACTCACCATTTCCTTCCCTACTGCTCCCTGAACAACCCCTTCCCCAACCTAATTACACACCACCTGAAAACAACATTTTAAACCCGACTTCAACTCCCTCCCCACCTTGTATACCTGTTACACTCCCAACCAAACAGTTCCTCTGGCAGCAAAACCTGCAAAATAAAAGGGTTTCCCACGATAAAAGCATCAAGAGGAGAAAAAAAAAGATCAGACGTGACATTTCAGTCAGAAGACTTTCTTGAAGCTACTGTAAACCTGATCAAAGACAATACAACTGACTTTTTCTACTGTTTCTACAGCCTGAGACACGTCTTCATGGGCAATATGTTACCTCCCACTTAAGGATGGGTTTTTGACCAGTAAAAAAAAAAAAAAAAAAAATACTAGTGAAATGACCAGACAAATATTGTCAAATAATGGTCAATTATATTAAGCAACAATTTATTAGAATGGTAAAGAGAGAATTTATTTGTCAATAGGTTAGATTTAAAATTTAAAAAAAAACAAGTTAGTTAACTATTATTGTGAAGCAATGAAATTCAATTAAAAAAAATGTAATGAATTCTCATAACTAATAACATTAGGTACAGGAATGATATTCAATATGAAACAGTTTGTTTTCTTCTCTTTCGCTAGGGTTGCCAAACCAAGAAAAACATTTTTACTGACAATCTGCAAGCTTTTTACTGGCAACCAAATTTTTACAGACATATTTATACTGATATATGTTTTACATAATGTAAATGGAACTCTTTTGCCAGAGCCTGCCCTGCTGCTAGGCCCCAGTTAGAAACACTCGGTTCAAATTTAGCAGTTTAATAGTGATCACAGTCAAAAAGTTTTTTTTTTAAAAGTGTGGCTGTCAAGTAAAAAGTTTGCAGTAAATTCGTGGGTTTGCAACCTGTTTGACTGTAGCAATGATTTTACACCATACTGCCTCACCCAGGGGCCCATACTTACCCCCATACCCTGAAACCCTCAACTGCACTCTGAACCATGCTGCCCAACCCCCAGCCTAACTTACCCAGCAAGCCATGCTCCCCCTGTCCCAGCACAGACCCTCCCTCTCCCCCCAAAGAAGCCTACCTACAAACCAGCAGTGTTATAAGCGGTGAACAAGATGCAGCAGTAGCAGCACATGGTTGGGAGGGACGGGGTCTGAAGCCCTAAGAGCTCCCTGCAGTGCTGCACTCCCACTTGGACACCAGGTGATGCTACTGTGCTCTGTATGTGCTTCAGCACTGCATCCAGCTGCTTTCCCACCATGCAGCTTCAATCAGCTCCAGCTGCTTAGAGCTTTTACTGACAATTCAAGTATTTTCTGGATTTTACAGACAGGCATTTTTACTCTGGTTTGGTTTGGTTTTAACAGACTGTCCATACATTAATGGACAGTTGGCAACCCTGTCCTTGGCTTTTATCCTGGAACCTCAGGGTCAGCCCGAGCAGTTAAAAAAGAAAATTAAACAGGAATAAAATACATACAGCTATAAAACTATATCAATAACTAAAAAAGACAAATATCAGTTTTTAAATGTTCCTAAATGGAACGTGTGCAGGTAACTCTGATTTGCACAAGCCAGGCACACAAGAAGCCCTGCACTTGCTACCAGACGACACCATAATCCAATAAAAGGTAGGCTGCCATCTACACAAGGGTATTCTTGGCTTCATGGAATATTTGACAATATTTAACTATGGTCAAATAATAGATGGTCAGTTGACTAGCTTGCCAACTTTACTCATCTTCTCTTTATTAGTACCATTTTGAAACAAAACTCCTAAAATACCTTTGACCCAGTTCACCCAGGCTGAATATTTTTTCAAAGTAAATAACACTTTTCCATTTTTTTAATATATTTACTCCTCAACTTAGAATAAAATATAATTGGAAATTCACCCACAACACTGGATTTCACCTCCTATTGGATGATACCATATAATATGAAAATTACAGAAGTCCCACTTTTTTTCAAATTTCAAGTACAGTTTACTTAAATTTATAAAATCAGCTTCCTCATGTGAAAGGGAGCCATCTCAAGGTCAGTCCAATTGTTGGCCCACCCACTTGTCTAGGGCAGTCCTCCCACCTGACTCTCCTGCCACACCTTTGTTGGAACAAAAAAGTTGTTCATAGGCAAAAGGCTGCCCATTTATTATCCGGTGCCAAATAAAAAAACCCACCCTCGAGTTATAAGTACCACTTCTAACTATAACCAGCATTAACCTTCTAAAAATCAATTTTTAACTCTGATAACTTGCATTCTCTCCAAATGCATGCCAAATGTTAGGGCATTTATATATGCCCTAAATGTTCAGGCTATGTTCTTCTGCACTAATAAGCAACTATACATTAAATACCAAACAGTAATAAGCAATGGATAATTAAAAGCAGTTTCAATTTATACCATCCAAGTTTGTCAACCATATAGATTTTCTGAAGCAAACACTGGAAAGTAGTGTATACTGCTTTTAGAATAAATGCTTCAAAATGCAGATATGCCTCAGCTCCGGGTGTAACCAGTGGTGTTAAGGATATATTGGACACGTATTATACAAGGTCCTACTTCACACAAGCAAGGACAGTAGAATCTGGCCTCCAATTAGCTAACATAACACCATCAAATATTTTTAGGAACAGTAAGCATAAATCTTTAAGATTTCATTTAGCTTCTGAACTCAATGGTAGAAACCTACAACAAAGATGAAAACAACATGTACCTGTATATTAAATGAATCAGCTGTGTTTAAAATACTATCAGTATCCATATTATATATTTTATACAAGATTATGAATTTAAATTAAAATGGCCTGATCATCAGTTTTCTTGATATGGAATAAACATTGTTCAATTAAAATAGAATAATCTCAAGTACTATAATCACAGGTGCATTACAGGAACTTAAACAAAGGGCTGTGGAGATGGAGAGAGAAACCCAGCAGGGACTCTGTTGATGGAACCATCTCCACATGGGTGAGCTAGAACCTCCCCCTACAGGAACTGCTTCTGCCCTTGGTGGCAGCCCACAGGTGGTGGCCAAGAGGTACTGGACACTTCATAAACCTGAACAATTTTAACTCTTGGATTTGATCGGTCTTTTATTATGTAGTTTATTTATGTACCCTTCACTTACAGCATTGTTTATTTTATTGTGCAGTAACTGATCCTTTCAAAAATACCTGTGTCACGGCGTGGGGTCCTGCAGGAGGGTCGTGATCTCCTCAAGGCCCGCTTCCCATGCCAAGTTGGCCCAAGGGCACCCTCACTTCTCGCCTACCACATCTTTGATGGAGTATAAATATATGGGAGGCTGCCTTACGTCCTCTTGGACACGGTCTGTTGCAATATCTGACCCCGTGGACTCCCAGACCCCTTGTGGGTCCTACTCTGCAATGGGTGCTTCAGGGGCACCCTAGCCTTATGGGCTATGCGTGGCTCCAACCACTCCTGTACCACGCCCCAAGCCTCGCAGATGGAATAGACGTTGTTCGATCTGGACCTTGTTTATGATCTGGCCCCCTTGTCCTCTCTGGGCCCTGCCTCTTTCGATCTGCGCCCTCTCTGGCACTAGGGCTCTCCCCAGTCCTGTCTCACTCAGTGCCCCCTCTCTAGGCCTCTCAAAGTGCTGCCCCCCCTCTCTGGGGCTTCTCAATAATGCTGCCCCCCTCTCCAGGGCTTCATTCACGCCCCTCTCTCTGGGGCCTCTCAACTGCCCCCTTCTCTAGGGCTCCTCCACAATGCGCCGCCCCCTTCTCTGGGGCTCCTCCACAATGTGCCTCCCCCTTCCCTGGGGCTCCTCCACAATGTGCTGCCCCCTTCCCTGGGGCTTATCAACGCCCCTCTCTGGGGCCTCTCAACTGCCCCCTTTCTGGGGCTGGTGTCAGTGCACCCCGACTGCTGCGCCCTCACTGGTGCTGAGGTCCCCACACTGCTATGGGTCCCCTATGAGGCCTCCTCCAACCCCTAATAGCCTCACCCAAACCACCGGTATTAAACAGTAAACAAAACGCAAGCCCTTCAGCTATAACTTAAACGGAAGCCGCCCGGCCATAACAACATTCCAGCCTACCAGGGAATACTCCATCCCTCAGCCGTGTCAGACACTGCTCCTTCAGTCAGGCTGCTCCTCTCTTCCATGAGAGAGAGCTCCTTCCTCCTTGGCTGCCGGCAGGGGACCGCTCTGGCCTCAGCCCCCAGGGGTTATAA